AATAATGGGGTGTGGCATTCAGTTGTCACGGCTGCTCTCAGCCCACCTTCCCTGTCTCCATCTGCTGGACCAGCTTCTGTCTGCTACGTGTGTTGGGAGTAGTGGGACCTCCCTTTCCTCTGGCTTTTCCGACTGTTTGTACATAGGGAGGTTGTAGGTTCTCATTTGTCGACTTTTTACCCACTGCCCTTACGGCATCTCTTGGTAATTTCACCTCCCCCTTTCTGGTCGTTTCTCGTCCACATTGTCTTGTGCCTCTCCCTGTGGCACTCAGGGGTGGGGGACCAGCTCGCTGTCTTCCCAGCTGAGCTGGGACAGCTTGTAGTGTTGAATCATCACATGTAATGCTGCTTTTGGCTTCATGTACAGAAATGAACATGTGCATTCAAACACCCCCACGTTTCTGTAGATGTGAGCACACTTAGAATCACGTTAAAGCAGCATCTATCTGTGCCTGTTTTAATATGGATTGTTAAAACTGGAAAGCACATTGAATCATATTAACTGCTTTCTGACCACGTGCAGAGAAGATGGTAGGTTTCCCCACTGGACTTAGTGTTCTGGTGAGATGCATTGTGGATCAGTCCTGGGGTGGACCATCTGACTGTGGCATACCATTTGTATGTGTTGCTGTTTTACTTCTCAGTGTGGAATTTTCATGTTTTGAGAAAAATGAGATTTGCAAGGGGCACACTCAGAAATGTGACTGGAGTCTGGTGCGCAGACCTCAGGCCTGGAGGGCACTTGCTTGGGGTGTGTCCCTGCTGTCCCAGGAGCCTGGCTGCTGCTTTCCTGGATGGCACAGACCTGGTGTCAGCCCAAGTCCACTCGCCCCACTGCCTGAGTGCTGTCAGCACTGAGGAGCTTGTTCCTGGCCCTGGACCTCCGGAAGAGCCAGGGAAGGTGGGGGGCGCAGGTTATGGGCCCATCGTAGCTGTGCTGGAGAAAGGCACCAAAGAGTGTTCTGAGAAACATCCTCAGAAGGATAAGCAGTGACCGTGGAAACACTACTGGCCCTTAGCTAGTTGAAAAGAAACCTTATCTGTCATCACCAGTTCATCCTTTATGTTGAAAATTCAAGAACTTGGAGAAGCTCTCCAGTGGGGCTGAGTTAAGAGGGGTGGGTTTGCCACCTGGAATTGACACTGTGGCTGGGAGCCAACAGGGGGAGCAGGGCCGCCTGGACCTGGGGCCTGGTGGGAGGCAATGGAGCCCTGAGCCGGAGCTGCACCAGCCTCCTCGGGAGGGTCCGAAGGCACCACTGCACTCCTGAAACAGGGATGTAAATACCCACGGGATCCATGGGACCTCACCCAGAATGTGATACCTCCGCCTCAGGACTGGGGTGCCTGCCATGCCCTGATCACACTGCACTGAAGACCTGAATTGGGGTACACGTGGCAGACTCCAGAGCCCCTGCCTCTAGGTATGAGCTGTATTTGAACATATTCGTCTTCAGTCTCAGGTGTGAGCAGTGAAAGGGGACACCTTCACTCTGGGCCGGTACCTCTCTCTGGTTCTGAGTTGGGGATCCCAGCAGACTGGGGGCCCTGGGGTGTCACACGTGGTCCCCAGGCCAAGTCTATGGTTTTGTCATAAGTACTGGGCCTGAGATGTCAGGATGTATTTGTGTTTCTTCTCCTGGCGGGTCTGTAACTGGTTAAGAAGAACAGAAGTCAGGGCTGTGTGATCAGATGTCTGGTGCACTGGGTTCACTCACCAACCTTGTCCCATTTTGAAGCAGCTCTTGGACTTGCAGGAAGTTGTACCTGGAAGACGGGTTTTGCAGGCCTGAGCCCCTCCTGTCCCTGTCCTGAGGCCTTGGCAGCCCGGTACCCCTGCTGGCTTCCTCTGTTGTCATTCCATCACGGCTGGCTGGTGTGGTGCAGACCTCGGCTGTGGCCCCTTCTTCTGGGAGCAGCAGCTCTTTCTTGCAGAACTTTTGGGGGATGGGTGGTCATCCCTGTTCACACACGTGTGGCCCTCGGCCTTCCACACTTTATGGTAGAGCGGCAACCTGAGAGTTCTGGCCTCTTGTGACCCTGGGGCCTACCGGATGCCTCAGGCCTTTGCGGAGGGTGGAGGTCTGTGGTCAGCACATACTTGTCATGGCTGCCCCAGGGACTTGGCCAACACCTGTGCCCTTTGCAAAGTTGGGCCCAAAGGGCTTCCCTGGTGGCTCAGAAGTAAAGAATCTACCTGCAGTGTAGGAGACCCAGGTTTGATCCCTGAATGGGGATGATCCCCTGAAGGAGGAAATGGCAACCACTTCAGTATTCTTGCCTGGGAAATCCCGTGGACAGAGGTGGCTGGCAGCCTACAGTATACAGGGTCACAAAAGAGGCAGACATGACTTAGCGACTAAACAAAGTCCGGCCCACCTGGAGCATCTGCCGTGGGGGTTGTATTCCTGCCCTGGTGCGGACTATCACCTCCCAACACGTGCGTGCTGGCAGACTGTGATCTGGCCACTGCAACAGCACTGCCTGTGGACCTAGACTCCCTTGGTGTCAGGCATGGCCCTCCCACGTCCTCACTGATGTCGGCCTGGCATTAATCCTCCGCTCTCTTCAAGCTGGGGTGGCTTTGGCTTCCCTGCCTGGAGGTTTTCATGGGCCTGTGGCATTTCTTTAAAAGAAAGGGTTAGAGTGGAGAGCTGGGATCTGTTACAACTGCTCTGGTGGGGCCAGGAGGCTGCTCACGCTTAAGAGAGTGGTCGATCTGGCGAGTACCCCACAGAACCCTGGGCAGCTCAAGCGCCAGGTATGTCAGGGGATGAGGGGTTCCCAGCAGACGGTGGGGTGGAGACGGCTGCTGGGTAGGGGAGCATAGGTGGGTGTCTTGATGGACAAGGTGGAGACAGGAAAGACACTTTGCTGACAGGGTCATGAGATGTCTGGGCCGGAGGCAGAGACAGGTGTGTGCGTGGCACCATGCAGCGCTTCCTGGCTCCATGCAGGCTCTTCTTTGTAAGTTGAACTTAAGTTGACACTTTCTTGGCCTTTTTAAGCTTGCTGTCTCCCAGCATTGATGGAGTTAATGTTTTTTATTTTGTGTGCGATTTGTTTCTTTAAGGCCAGAAAGCAGAGGGTTGAAATAAATCATTCAAAACCATGGATGAAATGTTGCCTTTGGCTTGTTGGTCTCCCGTGGAATGTTCAGTGATGTCCCGTAAAAATAACCCAACACAGAAACGACCAACCAGCCGTCTTCATCTCTGTGTCAAGGCCATTTTAGGGGCCGCCCAAATCGGAGCCTGGAGGGGACGGGCTTCTGTTGGTGAAGCCCAGGCTTGTGGGACCCCCACCTGGCGCTGTCCTGGGGGCCGTGCTGGAGCTCCCTGCCCCCTCTGGCCAGCCTTGTGGGTAGAGCCACTGCAGCCCTTTGAGCGCTTCAGTAGGGCTCTCACTTGTTCTTGCCCTCGTCCTATCGGTGCTGCGGGGTCCAAGGCAGGACATGAAGTTCTTTTTGTTGTTTTCTCAGCCAACAGCCAGAGAAATACAAGATGCAAGGGATTTAAAGTTTCTTTTTTATTTTTAAAAAACTACTGTGGTGGCGTCTACTGTTGCTTCTCAAACCTTCCCTTTCTGGTGAGCGGGTGTAACGTACTGCTCTGTGAACTCACAGCCGAAGCTGGCATCCTCACGTTTTTAAGAAAATTATTTGAAGTGGGGGCAGGACTCAGGAGCCTGTGACCCCACGCAGTGTGCAGTGTTTCAGCGCCCAGATGCTGGGGGCTCGAGCCCAACAACATCCCCACACGCACCTGGCTGAGGCTGGCTGGTGGTTGGTACCGGAGGGGCCTCTCTGAACCATCGCGAACCCTGGATCACAGCCAGCATTTTGCCTCTGTGAGCCCCAGACCAGCTCAGTGTTTCCAGAGTGACTGGAGAAAACGGACTTTCTCTCTGAGGTTCTCCACGTTGGTTGGCATCCGCCTTCAGGAGCGCAGGGCCTTTCTTCCAGTCAAAAATCTTTCTTTTGCAGTTGTGTTGAGCCTGGGAAAGTCTCACCAGTTCTTTTGAACTGATATTTTTTTAAAAGAGTCAGCGTGACTTTCAGGAAAGGTTTGAGCTCTGGCTCAGAGTGTGTGGAGGTGGGTGGCGGTGTCCCCTGGCTCTTTGGGCAGGCTGCCTCATGGCTCTCCTCCGAGGAACCAGGAGTTACTGCTCCCAGGGGAGAGGAAGGTGGGCCAGGCTGGGCAGGGCAGAACGAGCTGCGCCCACTGCTGTGACAGCAGAAGTCACACGGAGAGCGCCGGTGGGCCTCTCGTGTGCCGGAGCTCCAGGGCAGACGGCGTCACAGCACGAGGGGTTCCTGTCCTGAGTCTCTGAGGGCAGCGCTTATGCTCAGCCTCGGGGCCATCATAGGAGGGACGGGCTGGGGACAAGGCCCCTCGCTGGGCAGCAGCGCATCCAGCTCAGCTTGCCGGGCAGCACCAGTGGGCACCAGTGGGCCAGAGGGGGCGAGGAGCCACGTCCTCACAGCCGCCCCGTCTGTGCCCTGCAGCTGCAGGCGTGTCTAGCCTGCTGGGTGATCTTGGGACTAATCATTGGTCGCCGGGCAGCCAGTGGCCTGGGCCCTCTACTGGGTGAGGGGGTGGGACAAGCCAGAGCCCACTTTAAGTTGGGTCAATGCCCTGAGATTTTTGCTGTCTGGTGAAAACCATCAAGGGGCCCAATCTCTGCAGCAGTAGGTGCGGGCAGATGTGGCCACCAGGCTCGCCAGGATGCCTGGCCGTTGGGCCTGAGTCTCTCTAGCTAGCAGGCCCCTCCGTGTCACACTCACGCCCCCTTCATGCCCCGCCCTGCCCCCCAACCCCATCGCCAGTGTAGCCCCTGCAGATGTGGCCCACGATTCCGTCACATTGATGAGTTAGTGACCATCATCTAGTGGGCAGTGTGGTTGGGGCCTCTGTGGGCTGTACCCCACCCATAGGAAGGACAGGGGCAGCAGGACTGCGTGACCCCTTTAGCTCTTGGGGTATTTGTCTCATCCAGGTGGTGCTCTGGGTCGGCCTGGGCATCCTGGTGATCAGCACACACACCACCCTGTCCGTGAGCCAGGAGACCCCCGTGGACTTGGCGAAGGAAGCCCCGGGCGGCAGGCTTGGAGAGGCCGAGGGCGCGGTGAAGGCAGAGGCAGCCCCGCTTCCAGGTACGTGGCCCCCAGGTACGCACACAGGCCTGCAGCCTTCTCAGCGTCACCGCGGGTCATGGGGATGCAGTCATCACTCTCCAGGCCGTCTCACCTGCCCAGCTGCCTTCGCCCTATCCGGGTGATGGGGGCGGTGAGGGGGCTCCTGGGGGCCGTGTGTGCAGCCACCTGCATGTGCCGCCTGCGTGCAGGGGACAGGCTGAAGACAGCAGGGCAGAGATCTCAACTCCTCCCTGCACCCCTGTTCAGAGCACCAACAGGTAAGTAAACTTGTGGGTGTCACTCAACGTTTGCCTGTTGTAAGGATATAAATTTTAAGCCAGATTTTCTTGGACCGAGTCAGTGATGCCCCTCATCTTTGTTCCCTGCGGCCTACCTGGCCTTCCCTGTGGCAGCAGCAGCGCTGGCTGCTGGTGGATTCCAGATCCCTGTGGCTGGTGATGACTAATAAGCCCAGGTGGGAGTACTGGCCTCCCTGCCTACTGTGAGTGGCAGAAGGAAAGGTCCCAAGGGCTGTCCAGGCAGGCAGGTGCGTCCAAGGAAGGTGCTCGCAGGGCTGGGCCACCTATGGTTGGAGGCTCAGGCCTCTTGGACGTGTCGCCGTCTCTGTTCCAGCCTTACCTGTCTGTGCTGAGAGCCCCTGCAGTTACCGCACCCCTCACCAACTTCCTGCAGGAGAACAGTCTCTCCTGGGGCTCTTTTGGGGGAGCCCTGAGCCCAGAGTAATGGGGCATGCTCTCCTCTGCCTTCCTTGGATGGTGAGGGCCAGCACGAAGACTCCCCCTTTGGGAGTCCCCTGCACAGAGGACCCCTGGGGATAACGGCACTCAGCAGAGATATTAATTGGAGTGGTCAGAAGCTGCTTGGGTGTCCCCACAGTGGTTGCACGGATTCAGTAACTTGGACCAGAAGAAGCCTCCTGGAGGAGGGAGGGAGATGGCGCCCCTCCACCCCTGTTAGCAGCCCCACTGCGTCCCTCACCCCCAGGGGTCCTGGCCCCAGGTGCTTTGGGGACGCCCCCAGCAAAACGCGACTCGGACACTGGTTTCGCCTCTCAGCTGGCTGCTGGCCCGCCCGGTAGTGGGCTTCTCGGCATCAGTTGATGCAGCCAGCACCGGGCTGCCTGTCCCCACGGTGCTGGGCAGCCTCCAGCCCACTGCTGGCGCGAGCAGCTGCATTCTGTCGTGGAGGCGGGCCCCGGGCTCACCTGGAGCCGCCGCGGCCACATCTGGTTTCCATTTCTTCCACGAGTCTGTAACAAACACAAGGCCCCTCTCGGCACCACATGCCGTTTGTTTAACTCAAGTCTCCGTGTTTCTCGCCCCCCGGCCTCCCCGTCATTGATGGGTTGCCTCGTTGAAGCAGAGCTGGGCCCGTGGGGCCTGGGCCGCGTGCCCTGCAGCCGTCCGCCCATCAGCATGTGAGGCAGGTTTATTGGTCTCTTTGATGTTGAAGAGGCCGAAACAGTACCAACTTTCCCCAGAGCCCGAGCTGGCCGTTGGACTGGGGGAGTCCCGCCTTGCTAGGGACACACGGGCCTGGCCACCCCCAGCCTGGCGCTCCCAGCAAGCGCAGGGCTTGTGACACACCTGGTGTGGACAGAAGAAGTGGGCAGGCCTTCAGGAAAGGCTACAAGGCCATGACCGTGAGGCTGACGGCCCCCTTGAGGGTCTGGCGAGGGGGTTTGGAGTTTGTCATGCTCTTCAGCCCCTCCTCTGAGCGTGGCCTCATCCCCTGTCTTCCTCTCCCTCCCAGCCCACAGCTTGTCTTGGTGTTGGGAGCTGCCTTGGCCACACACCTTGTACCGCTTGTCTGTTTCCCCAGTGGGGACCCGGCCCTGCTTCTGCTGGGTGGGGAAGAATGGGAAGGGCCAGGCCGGGCATGGGACATGGGCAGCACCATGTTGGTGCGGGGACACAGCTGGCAGAGGGTGTCACAGGCCTGAGTGGGAGCTCGCCCTCCCCCATCTCCTTCCTAAGTTTCTCTTCTGAGGACACGCCCCTTGTGCTACTGTGCCAGGCGCTGGTGTACGTGGGCAGGAAAGCGTCCGGCCGCCTGCGACCGATGCCAGCGTGCCTGTGGGGAGGCCCGGCTGTAGGCCTGCCTTCCTCCTTGGTGCCCTCGCAGCTCTCCCAGTGCCCCACCGAAAAGGAGCAGTTAACGCCCCTGTGCCACGTGACCTCTCAGTTTTTCTGCCTGTGTGTCAGACACGGCTGTGAGCTCATCTCACTGGCGCTAAGATAACCACGCCAGCCACAGCCAAATCCAGAAGGACTCCTCAGGGGAGGGAGGGGCGCTGCCTCCCATGTTCAGCCCCGAGGGACCGGCCCACGCCCCCTCCACCTGCTGCCCATGGGCAGACGTGCCCATCTGCAGGAGAGTGTGACGAGTGAGCCAGACTGGGATACCCAGCCACCCAGCTGGGGCTTTGGGTCCAGGGACCTGTTGGGATTCCTGCACATCCAGTAGAATGTGCTAGATAGGGTTTCCTTTGCTGCCTAAGTCAAGAAGAGCAGGTGTTCCCAAGTAGACCTTCTCACGGCAGCAGTGAGGCAGGCACTTCGAAGGTAGTCAGGAAAGGTACTCAGAAGCAGCACCTGGCCTTTTTAAAGGACTGTTGGTGGCCACTCCTGCTCTCTGCATGGCCCTGGGGTCCCTTGCATCTCCTGAACTTGGGATTTACCTCCAATCAACAGGGATTCCATCTGTGGAATGCAAATGTGATTTTAAGAGACACTTTACTTTTGTGCTTGGCAGTCAGAGGACTGCTTCCATCTTCACTGATCACAAGATACAGAGAGATGCTCCAGACTCAGAACGGGGTCCTGCTGGGGATAGTCAAGGAAGAGGAGCCCCTGGCCCTGACCCTGTCTTCTGAGGTGGAAGCAGCCTCAAAGGCAGATTCTCGTTGCTGTGGACAGGCCTGTTCTGGATGTCACACCCAAAAACGGCTGCATGTCCCCAGATTTCAGAACTGTGGTTGTCTGTCTGAGTGCCGAAGAATTGATGCTTTTGAACTCTGGTGTTGAAGAAGACTCTTGAGAGTCCCTTGGACTGCACAGAGATCCAACCAGTCCATCCTAAAGGAAATCAGTCCTGAATATTCATTGGAAGGATTGATGTTGAAGCCGAAATTCCAATGCTTTGGCTACCTGATGCAAAGAACTGACTCATTGGAAAAGATCCTGATGCTGGGAAAGATTGAAAGTGGGAGGAGAAGGGGACGACAGAGGATGAGGTGGTTGGATGGCATCACCGACGTGATGGACATCAGTTTGAGTAAACTCCGGGAGTTGGTGATGTACAGGGAGGCCTAGCGTGCAGCAGCCCATGGGGTTGCAAAAAGTCGGACATGACTGAGCAGCTGAACTGAACTTGGACCCTCTGTCTCCCTGAGCCAGTCACAGAACCACCTGGTATCCACACTAGACCAGTGACTGTCGGCCTGTCTTCTCAGGAGCTCCTGGTAGAAGCACCGTCAGGAGGGTCTGAGTGTGGAGGGGTCCAGGCAGGTGAGAAAGCTTCCAAGCCCAGAAGAACTGAGGCAGACATGGAGTTTCCCTGCGTGGTGCCCACTTTGGGGAGCTGAGGCCACAACCTTGAGGCTGAGAGGAGGCTCTTCCAGGCCGGGGTGCCCTCTGCTGGCCACTGCCTCTGATTCACTGCTGCCTCTGGAGGGAGAAACAGGCCAGGCCCCTGGCCGGCCTTCATCCTTCCCTGGGGTGACCACTGTGGGTGAGTGCGGGCTGTTCTTCAGTTGCTAATTAGGAAGTTTGGTGTTAGTTTTACTGTGGCCCACAGGCATTGCTGGCAAACTGTTCCCAGGAGGAGCTGTGGTTCGTTTTAGAAAGCACTGTGTCTATTGCCGAGGACAGCTGTGAAGTGCCCGAGGCCTGGCTGCTGTGGGTGGGGTGGCCACGCTGTGTTACCCACCCCTCGCTCACCCGAGGCCCCTGGTCATTCCTTTGCCTGATGATGGATGGAGTTTGACTTGGTTCTACAACATGATGGAGATATTCTTTGTTTTGTTGTGGTTTTCCTTCCCTTCCTGGCCCCCTGTCTTAACTTGGTCATCCACTGGACAACACCTCTTGATTTTGACCCCCAGGAGCCTCTGGGGGCTGGGGACGGGGGTGTTATCTGTGCTGTGGAGCAGATACCACACACTTACTCAAATCAGCCGCTGGATTGAACTGTGGAGTCCTGCGTCTGACTCCTTGCCCAGTGCCGTCCCCCCTCCACTTTGTTTTGGACATTAAACCTCAGCTGCTGCAGGTACCCCCGGCGAGCATGCCAGGTCAGCCCAGGTCCCTTCCCCTCCTTTGGGGGAGGAAGCAAGCCCACCTGAACAGGACTGTCTTGAGTCCCCCCAGAGCCCCTTTGGGGTCCCACCACTGCTGGGGGTTCTGCCTCTCCTCTTGCAGGCAGCTTGTGCTCTGAAGGCGGAAAGCGGTTGCTTCAGGCCTGGGATGAAATGACTCTTTTTTCCCCACATAGTGTTTTAGTTTCTGCCACTTTTGCCTAATAGGTAGAAAGTGGTTTTGTTAATGCAGAGAATTTCCTAAGAGGTTCCACTTTGGCCATCCTCGTGGCCCTCTCCCTAAGGGCCCGCCGTGACTGAGCTGTTGGGCTTCCCAGAGGATAAGGAGGCCTGTGGGATACAGGCGTGTGTGGGGAGCCAGCTTTGTGGGCTGTGCCTCTTTCTCACCTTCCTTTTGATGGGAATTGCAAATCAGCCTCCCATAGGCATTTTCCTTAAGCATTTCTCTCCTCCCCTTTCCCCTTGGCCTTCAGCAAGGGGTTGGTTGGGCTTGGGGAGGGTGATTGTCCCCAGGAGGGACGATGTGGGCCCTTACTGTCCCCAGGCTTCAAGTGGTGGGTTCGTGCTGCCACCTGGTGGTGATGGCCAGCTTTAGGCGGGGTGTCGCTCTTCTGCACCCAGTTAGGTGTAAATTGCATTTTGACATATTTTTGTTATGAATACACATGAAAAATGACAGTTTTCTGTGCTAGTTAGCTGCTAATGATTGAACAGGAAAAAAAAAATAACTGCTTAGGCTCTGCCATTCGACTGGGAAATGTGATTACAATCCAGGGAAAACCGCCCAGTTGCCGTGCTGATTGGCGGTGTAGCCATGTGGAAACACCGCTCAATTATCTGTGCCGTGCTTACAGGCCAGAATCCAATTGTGGACGTGGCTGAGGACGGCCGAGATAAGCCGAAGCTGCCAAATGAGAAAGATGAGGTGGAGCAGGCCCAGATTAAGGGCCCCGTGAATGTGCCCCCAAGGGAAGACGCCAAGGAGAAGCAGGAGGAGGCACAGCTGGATCGCCCTGGTCAAGGTGCTACAACTGCTTGGGTGGAGGTGTGGGGGGCGGTGTCCATGGGGGCGGGACCTCAGCTGGACATCAGTCACGTGGTTGGTTGGGATGAGAGCTCAGTTCACAGACCTGGAGAGGGAAAGCCACCCTGGGAGGGAAGGCTGAATTCCCCCCCCCCCGACCCTACCCACTCCCCAACATCATCTGTCTCCTTCCAGGAGTTGCAGTACCTCTGGGTGAGGCCCACCGCCACGAACCCCCTGTGCCTCACGACAAGGTGGTAGTGGATGAAGGTCAAGACCAAGAAGGACTGGAGAAGGAGCGTCCGTCCAAACACGTGGATGAAAGGGCCCTGGGGGGCAAGGGTCAAATGGTACCACCCCTGCTGGATTCAGGACGAGAGAGACCCAGACAGGAACAGGCTTTGGAGGCAGCGGGAGGTCTTCCCAAAGATCCCCAGAAGGTTCCAGAAGAAAATGATCAGCCAGCCATTGAGCCTGTGAAGGAGGACCTGGGGCTGGGCGACAGGGGCGTGCATCCAGGGCCCCAGGCAGCGCTCCCTGAGGGGCAGGACGTCCCAGTGGCAGGCGCAGGGGCCAGAGCAGATGGCGCCCTGCTGCCTGGCCGTGCCGTGGGGGCCGTGGGCAAGCCGGAGGAGAACAAAGAGCCCGGTGGGTGTGGGCTCCCTCCTCGCGGGGCCGGGGAGGCTGGGGACGCGGCAGGAGACACTGACCATCCTCCCTTCTGTCGCACTGCCTTCCTCTTCTCGCGAGATGAGCTTGTGTGTGTCGCAGCCCTGATGCAGCTGCTGGCGCTTGGCAGCTTCTCTGACATTTGTCACACACCTGCTCGCCAGACCCGTAAGCGGCAGGTGCTGAGCTGCTCCTGTACGTCTGGGCGCACACAGGGCGCGGCGCGGGCCTGACGGGTAGCTCCTTGTTAAGTGCCATCTCAGAGCTACTGAGGACGGTCCCTGCATGCTAATTGACGAAGGTAGTTGACACTGGCTCCCTCCCACTAGCCTGTGACATGTTAAATATTTTTTTTTATTACCTCCCTGGTACTCATAGGTTGAATATACAGTACCGGGGAGAGAGAGCCAATGTGGAGGGTGATTTTAGGAAATATTGGCCTCCTCCTCTTGTCCCCCCGCTACCTTCTTCTGAGTTTGCCTGCAAGCCTCCTGAGTCTTCGCCATGTGTGCAGGTGGGAAGGCTCCCCTCCCGGAGGAGAAGCCAGGCCCGGGGGCAGCGCCACAGGCAGAGCCTCGAGAGCAGAGGACCGAGGAGGGACAGGGCGGGGAGCACGCTGGCAGCAAGCTGGAGGGTAAGGCCTTTGCTTTCTCCCTGCATCCTCCCAAGGCCGGAGATACTGCCACTTCCTTCTGGAAGTGTGGCCCAGAAGGAGACACAGGGGCCCATTGTCTTGCCAGTTTCCTGCTGAGGAAAGATCTTAAATAGCTCCCTTGCCAACTAACAGCCTTCTCTCCTCCATTTCACTTCCCCAGGAACGTTGTTATCTTCTTTTCTCCCCCTTTAAAAAAAAACAACCTGTCACTGTCATGTGACTTTCTATTCCTGTTTGTATCTCATTTCAAAATAGACACATTAATATTTCCAACAAGCTGGCCAGGTGTGGGGGGTGTTAGCAAGGGTGGGAGGGCCGGTGACTCACTGCTGTCTTAGCACTCCCCTGCCACGGTGGCAGCAGCTCCCACCCTGTCTTAGCTGGGGCCCGGTGGGGATCTTTGTTCCCACCTGCAGTGAAGACCCAGCACCTGTCCCAAAGCGAAAGCTCGTTTTATCTTTTCTCTCCAGCGACCAAAACTTGCTCTGCATCTTCCTCCAGACCTTTATGCCCATTTTGGGGTGCTTCCCACTCTCTGCTTTTGATGCCTCCCTCCTCACAGCCCCACCTGGTTGGGTACTGCCCTGCACTAAAGGAGGTGGTGGCAGCTCTCCCAGCAAATGATCATTCATCCTGATATCTTTGGTCCCCACCCTGAGCCCCCGTGGGGTCACCCTATTTGCTAGCAGTGTCCACAGAGTGGCCCCTGGGTGTTTCACTGTGTGCTCTGAGAGTCTGGGTCTGTACGTGGGGATCATGGTACAGCACTCAGGTGGGTTCATGGGATGCTCATGCCTTGCTGCTCCACGAGCTGCTTCCCAGAAGATCCTGCAGCCTTGGGATAGCTGGCTCAGAGCACCAGGCCCAGGAAGCCAGCCGAGCTTCTGCAGGCAGAAGCCAGGAAGGCAGAGCTGAGGGTCCTAGGGTTTCCTGTAGCTCGGATGCCATGGAGTTCCACATGTTACTGTCTTTGGTTTCAGTCTCTTTGCTGGTCCTGGTCCTTAAAATCTGTTACCTAATCCTGTTTGATTCTTTGACTTTTTCTTTTCTGAAAAGAACTTTCATCATTTCCTATTCTGCCTTTCTCCAAACGCTTCTCAATGGGATTCACAGCTGAAATCAGAAAGATGGTGGCAGGTAGGAGTCGGGAGGAGCATCACAGTGAAGGCTTCTGTGGGGGTTTAAAGATGAGACAGCAGACAGTGTGGTCACTGAGTCCGGTAGCGCCTTGCATGGGGCATGTGAGTCAGAGCCCGGGATCCACAAATGGTCTGTCCCCCAACTGGGCTCATCCGCAGCCCCTCTCGTGGGGTCCCCCTGATGCCCCAGCCCACTCTCTTCTAGTCCACATGCCCTGGTGCCCCTTAGCCCCACTGCGGCTCTGCCGTGGGGCGCCACCACCGGACAGCCAGGTGCAGCCTGTAAGCACCTGGGCACCCCCGGAGATGGGCCGGGGCCTGCGTGTGACTTCCGCGTGTGCATGGCCTGGTATGAGTGTGCTCTGCATGTGTGTTAATATCTGTGCAGCTCTCATCCCATCCGTGAGCCTGGTCCCTGTGGCCCTGGGGGGCCGAGCAGCTGCACGTGGAGCTCTGGCTGGGGGCTAAGCTTATCACCTCCACTCTGCTTCCCATCTGTCCCATGTTGCTTCTGGCTGGACATGGCGCACTTACCCCCACCCCAGCCTCGGGCTAGGGCTAGTCCTCCGAGGAGCCAGTGAGTCAGGGGGCTTGCTCTTTAGGAACCCTCCCTTGGGGACAGGTGATGTTGGCACCATGGTCATGGTCAAGGGAGGTGGTCTGGAGCTCTGTGGGATGGCGCTGTGTACTTCCCTGTCTAAAGGGGGTGTGGGGAGCCCTGAGATGATCCACGGAACATAGGCTTTCTCAGGCAGGCATCTTGGTCACCTTAGGATGTCTGGATGTGTGCCTGGTGGGGAGCAGGGGGCTGGATCACTCGGGCTAGCCTAGGGACCCATCTTCCGCATGCTTAGCCTCAGCATGTTCCTCATGGGCACCGGCCTCTGGAGGGAAGCCATGGCAGTCCTTGGGAGAAGGCCAACCCTGCCATGTTCTGGAGGGTCACAGGTCACTGTTGGGGAGGACAGGCTGGCACACCTGCATGTGCCCAGCACGTGGGGCCCTCAATGGCATGTTAACTCTCGCCACTCCCAAAATGTTCTCCTTTCTTCAGATTCGAGCTTTTCCATCTGACAACCTGTACAGTTACATCATCTTTCAAAGCTTCATGTTTAACGACACGTGTTATGAAAGTTCTTTAAGCCCGGACTGCTGGCTCTCCAGAGCTGACCCAGTGCTGACGTGTTTGTAGTGTGTTATGAGCTCTCTGCACCCGAGGTGTCCAGCCTTAGGGCCTCTTCTTGATCGACAGTCTGTGGGGGCCCTTCCTACCTGCACCTGCTGCAGCTGGCCTGCTCCCAGCTCACCTGGTGCTCTTCCACTGCCAGCTGCAGCCAGCTTCCCCGGGGAGGTGGGGCTGGCGGGAGCACTGGTGCAGCCTCCTCATTGAGGTCCCCGCCCTTGTGGCCGCTGAAGCGGAAGATGGTTCTGTTTGTCTTTAAAATTCTCACCTTAGAGGAAACTCTTAAAAAAACCTGTATTCTTTTTTAGAATAGTTGATAGTTTGGGTCACCAGCCCAGATCACTTGTCATTTGTGGTTGTGGCACGTGGGTGCTGGCTCAGCCGGGTAGAGGGGAATGCCCAAGAGGCGTCCAAGGGAGGGGCCCATAGGCCCCCTTGGCCTCCCTGCATGCATCACACTGCCCTCAGCCCAGCGAAGCGCCTCTGTAGCTCCCAGACTCTGACCGCGTGTTTTCTGCACCAGAAGCCGGCCGGGCGGAGATGCTGGACCATGCCGTATTATTGCAAGTGATCAAGGAACAGCAGGTGCAGCAGAAGCGCCTCCTGGACCAGCAGGAGAAGCTGCTTGCGGTGATCGAAGAGCAGCATAAAGAGATCCATCAGCAGAGGCAGGATGGCCAGGAAGGCGAGGATGGCAAGTCTGGGGGAGGGAGGGGGGGAGGGGCCGGGCAGGCTGGGGACGGTGGCTGCACCTGCTCAGGGAAGAGGGGTTGTCACTTTTTTAAAAAGAATTGTGTTTATGTATGTATGTATTCTGGCTGTGCTGGGCCTTCATTGCTGCACAGGCTTTCTCTCGCTGCAGAGCGCCGGGCTGCCCCCGTTGCGGCGTGCTGGCTTCTGGTTGCAGAGCACAGGCTCTCGGCAGTCGTTGTGGCATGTGGGCTCAGTCCTTGTGGTGGGTGGGCTTAGTTGTTCCAAGTCACGTGGGATCTTCCTAGATCAGGGATCGAACCCATGTCTCCTGCATTGGCAGGCGGATTCTTTACCACTGAGCCACCAGGGAAGCCCAGGGATTGTCCCTTAATGCATGAAAGCCAGAGTCTCCTGCCTCCTCCTGCCCGCCCCCCACCCCCCCATCCCCGTTGGATCTGTGGCTTTGTGGTCTAGAGTCCTGTTGGGCGAATTTAAGCAGGTGTTTGTATTCCTTGATTGCTGGCAAGCTGGCTTCATTTAGTCACTGCGTCGGTAGCTTCTGCTCATCTCTGTGGCTAAACGGGTGCCTGACTTCATTTGCAGCGGACGTACAGCCTGAGCTGGGGGTGGCCGCGCCCAGAGGCAAGGAGCAGGAGGTCCACGACGCGGGGATGGTGGAGCGTCCCCCGCCGCAGCCTGTGGAAGTCCTGCCTGGCGCTCCTGGGCGTCCCCTCGCTCCTGCCCAGGGGCACAGCCAGCGCTCCATGGAGGAGCCTGAGGGGGCAGTGGGCAGAGCCCCAGCTGCACCTCCTGGCGGTGCTGACCCGGAGCCCTGGGCAGCTCCGGCGGAGCCACAGGAAGGCTGGCAGGGTGCTGTGCCTGAGGCTGAGGGCGCTGGTGTGCAAGAGCGGGTCCCTGTGCTAGAGCCTGCCAGGGTGCCCGGGAGCCCAGAGCAGCGTGGGGTTGGGGATGTCCCAGGGCAGAGCCGGGATGTTTTTGGTGGAGGCGCCCACGAGGAGAAGAAACCCGGGAAGGAGGTAGCAGCTGCTGGTGCGGACGCTCAGGAGGCAGATGTGCCGGGGGTAGGGGCAGCGATTGGGGCCCCTCAGGTAAAGTCCCAGCAAGCGAGCCGAGACCGGGCACCTGGAGGCAGGTCGGGGGTAGCAGCCCCCCAGGCCCAGGTTGTGTTACATCAGCCGGAACACCGGGCCGACCCTGCTGGAGGACAGGGTGGGCAGCAGGGTGGGCATGTGGAGATGAGGAAGGAGGCCCCCGGCAGGGAGCATGTGCCTGCTCCCAGGGAGGACACCGCCGGACAGGAGCCCAAGCAGAGGCCAGACCCTGAGCTTGGGCCCAAACACGCCATCCCTGGAGATCAGAAGCCGGACAACGCCAAACCCAACCGGGATTTGAAAGTCCAGGCGGGCTCCGACCTTCGGAGGAGACGGCGGGACGTAGCTCCTCTGGGAGAGACAGGGCTGGCCCCAAAGGACGGTGTCATCATCAGCTTCAACTCACTGCCCGACGTGCAGGTCAACGACCTCCGCAGCGCCCTGGAGACCCAGCTGCACCAGGCCGCTGGGGGCGCCCTGCGGGTGGTCCCAGGCCGCCAGATCAAACAGCTGCCTGGGACCCTGGAGGAGGCTTGAGCCCCACTAAGGCCAGGGTGCTCTGGTCAGCTGGTGAACCTGGACCACGGTGGGTGCCACGCTCAAGTCAGGCCCAGGGTGGAGTGATGCCTCTGCAGCTGCGGCCACTTCCAGGCTGACTCTCCCATGACTCAACTCCCTCCAGCCTTGAGGAGGAAAAACAGCCGCTCCCTGAGACCTGGAAACATGACCCACCACCTCCTGTGTGGCTGTGGGAGCCAGTGGGGTTCAGGTGGAGATGTTGGGGCTCTGAGTGCTGACTGCAGCCCTGGACCCCCGGCTGCCATGAGAGGCAGGTGTCACCCTGAACTTGAATTCCTTCTTGATGTTCTGTGACTGTCAGTACAGAGCCTGAGTAAATGTTTCTGCCTTCACCCCCTCACCGCAAATGCTGCGTCAAGTCTGAGAGGCTGGACAGGGCTGTGGGTCCAGCCGCCTCCACCCTGGTGCTCTGCTCTGCATACTTCAGTGTCCCAAGCGAGTGGTTGTGAGATTTAAAAAGTAAAACAGACCACTGCTGTCTGGTTGGTGCGAGGTGAATCACCCAAAGGCTCCCACGCCACAGACCGAAGCCGTGACCACGAAACGTGGGTTTGAGGCCCGGTGGGGAGGGGTGCATGGCCTCACTTCTCGCCACTTCTCACTTCTTCCAGGGCAGCGTCTCCCCTGGGTTTGCACCCTTGGGACTCATCTGTTGGGAGGGTTTTTGTGGTGTTTTTTGTTGTCCTTTGTTTCAAGGGGCAGAGAGGCCAGTGATCATCCCTTGACTGGGGGCTGGTTGGCAGGTGACCTGACAGACATGCTGGACTGTGCCTTCAGGAGTCTAGGGCCTTCACCTGCTTTGTGCTTTGTGCTGTGTGTGCCTCCTTCCCCTCTGGGGGCGGGGGCCGCTCCAGACCCTGCCCCAAGGGGTCCATGGCGGGGCCATTCACTGACCACTAGCCAGGCATGCACAGGCCATATGACAGCTCCAGCCTTGGTCTCGGCTCACCTTTCCCCTGTGCCTTTTGAAATGGTTTTATTGTTTACTGTGATTTCTATGTCATCTTGAAGCCTCAAAATGAATAATAAAAGGAGTGGAGTTCTCTGGAAGTCAAGCTGATTCCCCACAAACCCCGGGCACTGCTCACACAGAGGGGAGCTCAGTGAAAGGCGGCTGGGTCCCAGTGCTTCTCACCCTCCATTCTTAACTAAAAACAATTCCAAGCAAACCATACCTGGCGAAAGTTTCCCTCAGGTTGGAACACCATTTGTTGTTTCAAGGTGGGATTGCGTGTCCAGCCCTCTTTACCTGGATCTCTCACCTTGACCCAGTGTTCTCTCAATTTCTGCAAAGATAACTTCTTCCTCAGAGCAGGGGTCACAGCCATCTGAGAGCAGCAGTGCAGCCTCTGCCATCGCCTGCTATCCCCGCACCTCTGGACGCTCAGGGTCTTCTGTCCCAGTTAATGCTTGTATTCAGCTCCACTCCCCAGTCCTTTCCTTCGGGAGAGATCTGGGCAGACCTCTGGGTGGGGTCACCGCGACCAGTACTGCAGGGAGCCACGAGGGGCCGGGGGCAGTGCCTTGCTTTCTGACCACAGGCCATCCCTCCCGCTGGGTCCCACGGCTGGTAGATGTGGCCAGTGCAGCACACCGGGCCACCAGGAGTGACCTTCTGTGCTGGCAGATACACGCGGCAGACATGAGGCCTGGCTGGCCTAGGTGACTGGACAGGACCCTGTCTGTACTCCCAGTTCTAGAATGGGGTCCCCGAGCCCAGCCCGGGGTGGGAAGAAGCCAGGGCCGAGGCTGGGTATGGCCTCCCGTGGTGCAGCTGAGCCCTGAGTCCGAGGCCAAGACAGGTGGAGCATACAGAGCCACACAGGGTGACTGCCTCTTGGTGACACAGCTGAAGAAGCAGCAGGAACCATCTTTTCTGCACCCTGACACAACTCGGTTGAATTCCCTCCCATAAACACAGTTTTGAATGACAGGTTGAGTTTGGGGAGGGGAGCCAGGGAGGCCCGTGAACTGACTTCAGCGTGTGGTGAGCAGCCTGGCCCAGCCAGTGGGTCACGTCCACAGCCCTGGACCTGACACATGGCTGGTGGCCTCACCTGCCCCCGTGAACTGGGATCTGAAAGGATGGTAGGAGATCACCGGGAGGGGTGGTTCTGGAAGGGACCAGAGAGCCTGTGCACAGCAGAGATGCCAAAGTGCAGAAAGCACAAAGGGTCAGAAAGAGGCCGTCCTCAGGCAGGAGGCACCTGCCGGGTGTGCACGCTAGGTCTCAGCAGACAGGGAAGGGGGGAGGCATTCTCAGCAATCTGTCCCCCTGGCCCACTCCTCACTCCTGCCCTCAGCCAATCTGAGGGTCCATCACCCCTGGCCGGGATGGGGGTCATGTCAATGATATCTGGTCCTGAATTCCAGTGGTGACTGATAAACATGACTGCCCAGTCAGCCAGTCTTTAACAGCCCTGAAATCCTTGAACAGCATGTGGCTCCCCTCCAAGGCTGCCCTGGGAACTGCATTTCACTGGGATGATAGCTCAGAGATAAGGGGTTTCAGCACTTTGTGGGGGAAGTGCAGGAGCCTTTGTAAGAGGGAACAGCTCCGGGCGTCAGGGTGTGGGTGCCCTGGCACAAAGCTCTGGGACAGCAGGCCTGGGTGGAGCCAGAGGACAATGTGACCTCCACACCCTGGGGAAGGAGGCTCTGGGATGACACGCCCAGCAGGCAGTGCTCGGGATGCTGGACTCTTCCTGGGTCCCACTGGGTCTCCCTGGAGCTCCAGCATGTGTGCTGCTGCAGCCTTACCGAATCTCAGGATGAGGGGCGGGACCAGAGTGGGCAGGAGCCTGGCCAGGATGGACCTGGGCTCAGACTCCAGAGGCTGTAAGGGAGGGTGGGGCAACCCCATGGAGCAAGTCTCATGGGCACCAGGTTGCTAAAACAGGACCCTCCCGGGGTTCACCCCTTTGTCTGGAAGAGCAACCCCCACCTTTTTTTTCTAAGTCAGAAAAAAAACCCATCAGTATCAGATTCCTACAGCTCGGACCTTTCCCTCACGATGTCACTGTTCTCTCTTTGGTCTGTGCTATAACCTGGTAGTTACCTCTAAATGCTTCGCCAGACTCAGATGACATACCTTTGGTGAGAATTCTTTAAAGAACGAGACTCGCAAGGCAGCTTGTTCATAGCCCATGCACTCATTCTGCAGATGACAAAACAAATCTTACAGTATCTGATCTGGTCTTTATTGTGGGTTCACTGTATCTTATTCTCCCCAAATCCTTAGGCATGCAAGGCTGGAAAACCCATTCCCCTCTGCTCATGCGCGCCTAATGTGTTTCCAGTCCTTTTAGCCCCAAGAGCTTTTAAGGTTTTAAGACGCTTGCCCCTTGAGATCATCAGTGCCAGGCACCCAGGGACGTGGACTGGAGCTCGCAGTCCTTCCTAATGGCCTCCTGTCAGGGTCTTCTTGGCCTGGAAGACAAAAGGCTGTGTCTGAATGGGTTGCTTTCAAGCTAGACATGGTTTCAAAGTTAAGAAAACTACCACACCAGAAGCCACCTCCTGGCAAATAACTTACAAAGAGCTTGGCCACGGGTGTGCAGCATGGGGCCAGGCTGGTTGGGGCACTGGTAGCCGGGGCTGGGCTCAACCTGCTCTGTGGCCTCTCCCACCCCTGCCAGGTATTGTGCCAGCAACGAGTCCCATTTAGTCCTACCCCTTCTATAAAGGAATCTCTAAGTCAGAGATGCTGAAACACTTGCCCAGAGACAGGCTCCCCTCCTGCCTCCTTATGCACCCCCACAGAGCCTCAGAGTGCAGGCAGAGTAGACAAGATGGCTTGTGTCTTTAAATGAGAAACCCCCAGGTTTCCTGTCCTGAACTTCCAGGGCCTGTGGTTAGGTTGCCTTCGATGGAAAACAGCAGCAGAGGCAGTGATGTGCTCCCGGGGGCAGGGCAACATGACAGAGGCAAAGGAGTCATAGATGGCCAGATACCTGTGATACTGACTAATAACCACAGGCGGTAGGGAAAAGCCTGGTTTGGCCAGGAGTGTGTGATCTTTATTTCACATGTGAATCCTTCCAACCATTCACCACAGGATGAAGTTTTGTACCTCCCAGAGGGAGTGCTCTTAGTAAAGCAGGGAAGCTGCCAAGAGGCAGGAAGCAAGTCCAAGCGACACATGCATCTAGGATGAACATGTCAGATCAGAGACTGGTGACGAGGGCGGAGGCCACATATCCCAGCCACAATGATTGCTAGGAAGGTGCAAGGGGTTCTTTGTGCCCTCTGGGAAATGAAGTATGGCCCATGCATCAGCCATCCTGGAACATCTGGAAACTGCCTTGGATTCCCTCAGTTCTGCTGAGCTGTCCCAACTGCCCCCTCTCTGGTCCAGTACTCAGCACCAGCAGCTCTGGTGAGCAGAACTGACTGTGGGCATCGTGGCCCACCCCAGACCCACAGAGTCGAGGCAACCCAGGACCTTGACGCCTTGGGCACCACCTCAAAACCTTCTGCTAGCCTCATTACAGGCAGCCTCCGTGGCGGCGGGGGTCGCGCCGGCTGGTGTGGGGCTGTGGCCCGTTGAAGCACCTCTTGGAGCCCAACACCGAACCCAGAAGAAAGGGAAGCCAGCTTCCCGAGCGGGTAACGTGGGTCCCCGCCCCCCAGGGTCCCACCCCCGGTCGAAGCTGGCGTCCACCTACCGCAGCAGCGAAGCAGCTCCGCAAAGCCTCGAACTCCTGCGCACATAGATCCTTCTTCAAGCAGCCGCCCGGGGCCGTGGACGCCTGCACGCACCTGCCGTAGGCCGCGGCCTGGGGGCGGATGGAGACGGGAGAGGGTCGCCACGGCCCACGCGCCCACTGATTACCCAGGGCGGACCCCGCCGCCGCCGCCGCCGCCGCTCCCGGGTCACCACTACCCGCCTCCCGCCAGCGCGCACCCCGCCCCGCACGGCCCTTCCTGCCCCGCCTGACGACTCCGCACCTCGGCCCCACAGGCCGCTAGACACTCGGGGAAGGCGCGGAGGCGGCTACGCACGCGACCCCACACAGCTCCGTTCCCCGACATGAGAGGCTCTTCCCGGCACCTGTGGGCGCCGCCATCTTAGGTCCGGCCTCTTCCGGCGCCCAAAGGCTTGACAGGCAGGCACTTCCGCCCACAACCTTTCTTGCGCTTTGTTATTTGGTCAGGCTTAGCCCTCGCCTCTACCTCTCCGGAACCGCTCTTAAGTCTCCCAGAGCCCTGCAGTTGGATCGTTGTCTGTCGCTGTCCTTGGACTTTGTATTGGTTTACGCGCAAATTGTTTCCCCGAAGTCGGCCTCAAGGCCCTCCTCACGCGAGTAATTGGCCCGCGGGGTCAGACTCACGCAGTGATTGGCGGGGGCCCGGGCCTGGCGGAATAGGGGCGGGGCCGGAAGGTGACCGGCACCATGGCGGCTACGCCGCCGCTGCGGGACCGGCTGAGCTTTCTGCACCGGGTGAGTGCTGGCGGCCCCGGTCCCACCACGCGCCGCCTCCTGGCCTCGCCCCCGGCCCAGGCCGACCGCCTCCCTGGCTGCGCACTGCCCCCGCGGGATCCCCGTGCCCTCCGACTGCTGCCAGGCTCGGCGTCCCCTTCGTCCCCCTCCGTCCCCCCCACCTCTTCTCTCGCTTCTTTCCCTGTCTTTCGGCCGCTTCAACATCCCAGAACTCTCCTCATCTCAAATCCTACTCCTCGGCTCCCCCCGAGGCTGGGGGGGCCCCACAGCCTTGGGGGTGGGGGGTAGGTCAGGCCACCCCTGTGTCAGGTCTACTGTGGATAGTGACATCCCCTTGAACAAAATCCATTTTTTTGTTTTCTTACCCAGCTTAAAGTAGCTTTACAGAAAAAGAAACAGTGATCCCCAGAACTCTGTCCGAGATAACCAGACGCTGATTCGAGGAGCGGCAGAAAACCTTTTATTAAGTGGTCCAGGCAGTGGGGGAAGCCCTGAATTCCAGTTCAAATTGTGTGGAGAGGACTGGGCGTTTTCAGGACAAGACAGAAGGGTGGAGTTCAAGTGAAAAATGACAGGCGTTTGGGCGGTTTTGGTGGGATACGGCTGCTGTGCTGATAACTGGTGGTTACAGAAGCTAAGATCCCAATGTCCAGTAGGAACTGGGGGACGGACCCTGTCCCTCCTGGTGGTTACATTTCAAGGAGTGGCCTTCAGGTCCTTGAGAAAGACTCTCCCAAGTTGTAGGAGGTCTGGGTTCCCAATTGTAGAAAATGCTCCTAAAATGAGCCTGAACCAGTCCAAAGTCCAGGGTCAAGAAAGGGAGGTTGGGGTCTGTCACCAGAAATAGGCCAAAATGAACAGTGAATTCTGGCACTGTAAGCTTCCACAGGCAGGCGGCGAGGGTGAGGGGGGTGCTGGGTTCACCTTCATGCTGCTGAAAGACCGGTCTCTTTGAGCAGAGGTTTCGCTATGTGCTGAACATCCTATGGTCCTACAGACCTTTCCAGCTTCCCTCTGGGTCTTGGTGGACAAATAGCGTAAGCAGTCTCTTGCAACATTCAGGCCAACTGTGTCTGTGGCCAGCACCTCAGAGACTGCACCTGAGGTCTCCTGTCCTGTCTACACTGAGGGTCATACCCCCCAGATGTGCCGTGAGGTGGAATGGGTGTTTCTGGTTTTTATCCCTAGAAATTGTACATCTTTGTGCTGAGTCAACTCAGTGTAAACACCTTTGTGCTGACAGATAAGCGTGAGACACACAGCTGAGTCGGTTGGTCTTGTTTTGAGTTGTTTCTGTGGGATCCTTTCCTGGAAGTGGCGCTGTACGTCTGTCAGGGTGAATGATTGTGTCACAGGGGCTTACCCGAGGAGTCTTTTTTTTTTTTTTGCCAGTCTGTAAGTTGGTAAAGGTGCTTTTAAGTTGTGTGGCTGTAGGCGTAGGGGCCTGGGCGGGCCATGCTGAATCGTGACCTTTAGGGCCTGTCACCATGGAGACCACCACCCATTTCCTCTTCCCAGGTGTTCATCCTGGCCTCCAGAAGGGAGGCTTCTGCAGGCTGTCTGTGGCCAGTGGGACCATTGCTGTCCTCTTTGGGTCCCCTGACCCTGTGGCATGCCAACTATAAACTGTGTGGAAACAGATCTCCAAGAATGAGGGCTCCTGTGGCCACTCACTGTGGACTGGGCTCTCGCTCCCTTTCAGCTACCAATTCTCCTGAAGGGAACGTCGGATGACGATGTCCCGTGTCCGGGCTACCTGTTTGAGGAGATTGCCAGTATCCTTCCTTGTGGATACATCTGGGGGCCCTGTAGCCTCTCCTACCCCATCTCCCAGGGTCCTGGGCTTCTCCTATCCTGAGGGGGCCCTGGCTCCTTTCCCATAGCTGCTAGGTGTGTGGGCTCCGAAAGTCACCCTACTGATGACATGAGGCTCAGGAGACCCTAGAAGCTGGGTGTTCTGAAACCAGGGCCTGGGGTGGGTGCCTGTGGTGGAGGGGGCCACACTGAGGAGTTTGATGGCAGGAAGGCCCGGCTTCTCTCCCTGGCCAGGGCATTGTGTGGCCTGGGGTTAGTTCGCCCCTTCCCTAACTGAGCGCCTCCCAGAGATCTCCCACGAATCCCTGGGCAGCAGCCAGTGTCTCCTGGAGTACCTGTTGAACCGTCTGCACAGCGGCTCTGGCCGCGTGAAGCTCAAGGTGAGTCCGAGCGGCTCCAGAGGCCTGTGCGGGGGTTAGGTCAGGGCCCTGTCCCGCCCCTCGCGGTGTGGCTGGAGGGAAGGGATGAGCTGGGGGCATCGGGGGCTGTGTTGGGTGGGGCACCCTTCTGTGGATCCAGCTCTGCCCACCCCCGTCCCTGCTCTCCCAGGTGCTGAAGATCCTGCTGCACCTGTGTGGTCACGGCTCCTCATCCTTCCTGCTCATCCTGAAGCGCAACCCTGCCTTCATCCAGGAGGCCGCGGGTACGGGCCAGCACTGCCCGTGGGAGGCGCGGGGAGGAAGGTGGCCAGGGCAGGTCTCGGCCAGATCCCTTAACCCGAGTCCCCGCCTCCCTGCCCCATACCTGTGCGCCCCTCTTTTCCCCGTCCACACTGTCCTTCGCTGCCAGTTCCTCCCCCCGTCCCGGCCAGGCCAGGCCAGCACACTGTGCAGAATGACTGGTGTCTGTCCGTGAGCTCTGTCTTAGCGGCCTGGACCTTTCCTGTCTGTCCCTGCCTTGGGTTCCCTCTTCTCCCCAGGGCTGCTCCTCCGGACCCTAGGAACCCCTCCGTTCTTGGAAGGGCTGGGAGGGTGGGGGACCGGACTAGTGAGGCTGTTGGGAGACGTGGGACCCTGGCCTGTGGTGATCCAGGTGACAGGTGAGTCTGGGATAGAGCCCTGTCTGTTACCTGCCCCCGGACCAGAGGTGTTCATGAGTCTCTTGTTAATAAGAGCTGGTGGGGGGATGTGGCCTGAGGTCTTCTTGAGTGGGGCAAACGGAACAGGAAGGCCTTGGCCTTCAGGCCAGAACCCACCCCGCCAAGCTGTCCCCGAGAGGGCGGTGCCACGGAGGAGACTGAGTCCTCTGTCTACCGCTTGCTTGTCGGAGACCCTCAGCAGTTCACTGTGCCCCACCCACCAGGTGCTTGGACTCATCCCACCCTGCCGCACCCCGAATCCACTGTCTTCCCTTTACTGCAGGCGCACTGAGGCCAGGCCGGGGCTGGGCTGCCCGTGGGCCCTGGGGTCCATGCGGGTGCCTTGGAGACAGGGAGTGGCCTCGGAGGGGGCACAGATCATTACTTGGCAGATGCCCAGAGGCGTCCAGGGGGCTCGGGGCACACTCGTCACAGCCCAGCTCCCCGGAGTTTGTGCACTGAAGCAGCATGGCTGGTTCATCCTCACCAGCTGGAGGGTCAGAGCAGGCCTGTCCCGCTGTGCGGCTTACACGGTTGTGGCCAGTGCTGGGCCTCACCTCTGTCCTGGCCTCCAAAGAGGACAAAGGAAGCAGAGGGGGACCGTGGTTCTCTATTAGCACCAACATCTCTCAAGCTCTGAGCACTGTCTTCAGAGGCTGAGTGCCCAGAGAGATGAGGCTGTGAGAGGAGCTGATCCTGGAGGTGAGAGGAGGGGGGTGGCCCAACTTTGGGGGCCTGGCGGGGGGGTCACTGTGACTCCCACAAGGAGGGTGGGAGCTGTGGCAGGACGGCGGGGAGGTACCCCCCACTGGCTGGTCTCAGCGCCCTAAGGCAGGAGGAGCCAGCGAGATTTAATGATACATAAGCTTCCCAGGTTGGAAAAGGAAATGGCAACCCACCCAGTATTCTTGCCTGGAGAATCCCATGAACAGAGGAGCCTGGCAGGCCATGGTCCGTAGGGTAGCAAAGAGTCGGACATGACTGACGCGACTAAGCATGCATGCAAGCACACAAGCTTCCCAGGTGGTACTAGTGGTAAAGAACCCGCCTGCCAGTGCAGGAGATGCTGGAGACATGGGTTTGATCCCTGCGTTGGAAAGATATCCTGGAGGAGGGCATGGCAACCCACTCGAGTATTCTTGCCTGAAAACTTTGATGGACAAAGGAGCCTGCTGGGCTATAGTCCATGGGGTTGCAGTCAGACACAACTGAAGGGACTTAGCGCACACAAGTTATCTGATGGGCCACAGCTGAAGCTTTATGAGCAGCAGACCTTTCAGGCCGTGATAAGGAGTGGCACATTGACATGGTCCTGGTGTTCTGGAGGTTGAGTTGCAGCCTCACAGCTGCGGGTGTGGGAGGTGTGGGCCAGGGGGCACCGAGGGGCTGTGAGGGCACAGCTACCCCAGGCCTGAGGACGGCGGTGCCTCTGCTTTAGGAAGCCCCCAGGGACTTGGTTGAGGGGGCTGAGCTGGGGGCTTCAAGAGGGGCTGGGCAAGGCCAAGGCTCACTGCCTGTGTCGGGTGTGGGCTTTGAGGCTGGTTGGCATCGCCGAGCTCAGCTCTGCTCCCATTTGCCCCACAGTTTTCGCGGGGCCCCCGGATCCTCTCCATGGGAACAGCTTGTACCAGAAGGTGCGGGCGGCCGCCCAGGTGAGCCCAGGACCCAGGTCACTCCCTGCTCTCCCCGTGCAGGGCCCTGGCTCCACTCTTTCTGCAGGACGGAGCCCCTGAGTGGCCCTCAGGGGAGGAGGGGTGGGGGGACCATGGGTGTATGGTGCTGAGTGCCCTCTGCCTCGTCTAGGACTTGGGGGCTGCCTTGTACTCGGACGCCTTTTTACCTCCGCCTCCCTCCCAGCCTCCCAGGACCCTGCCTCCGGCAGGTACGCGAGCACACCCAGCCCTGTCACTGGGTTACTCTGGGTGGGCCTCTCCTTCCCCAAATGTCTGGGGTTGAGGGCCGGGTCCCTGCTGCTGCTGACGTGGGCCTCCCCGCAGGCATGGGCTCCCAATCCAGGCCCCAGAGCACTCTGCAGGGCTTTGGCTACAGCAAGGAGCGGGGTCACACAGGTGAGTGCTGCAGGGCCCGGGCCCCGGCTGCAGGCGAGGGGCGGGTGGGCCTGTGTGCCTCCCACTGACTTCTCTGCCACCCTGGGGCGGCTGGGAAGGTGCAGTCGGCTCTCCTCACCTGACTGGTGAGAAGCCAGGCTGAGGGTCAGCCCCGCACTTGGGGTGTCAGCCCTGGGCTCCTTCAGGGAGCCGAGCACAGAGGGCGGTGGTCCCAGCTGTGACAGAGCTGACTTGGAGCTGGCGCGGTGCTGGCCCTGCTTGCAGGGAGAGCCCGAAGCCCTTCAGGGCCATGTGAGCCTCTTGTGGGCTCTGGGCCAGGTCCAGCTGACATGCTGGCCACTCCATCCATGGCTCCTAGTTCCTCGGCACTTAAAATTCCTAAAGTGGGTTGGCCTTAGAGCCCACCTGTTCCTAACCTGGGGGTGACCACCAGGTCACCCTCCATGGGGCACTCCTTGGGAAAGCCCCCAGCACTGGATGTGAGTGCTCCCTAAGTGGCCAGGGAGATTGTGGTTCTCAGGACAGCCACCTTAGGTGGCCCCGTGCTCTGAGGTGGGGACACAGGAGGGCCAGGGCACAGCTTTGCCATGAGCTGCTGCTCATCCACACTCCTTGGGGCCAGGATGCATTGAAGTGAATTCACTGCAGATGCTTCTGGGAGGGCCCTGTCCCTCCATACAGCCTTTGCTCTGTGACTGCAGCTTGTGTCCCAACCTCTTGGGTCCTGGGCAAGGAGCAGCCATGGGCACCTCATCCCGGGAACACAGGGTGGGACTGAGGGGTCTGTGCCGTCTCCCCTCTCTTTGCTGCAGGCTCCGCAGGTGAAGCCTTCCTGTCCACCATCCAGAAAGCTGCAGAGGTGGTGGCCAGTGCCGTGCGCCCTGGGCCTGAGAGCCCCAGCTGCCAGAGGTCCCTTCTGCGGGGTGACGCCTACCAGCCGGCTGTGACACCTTCAGCCAGCCTCGGCACCCCCGCCTCCGGGGGCCCTCTACCCATGGCCAGCCCAGGAGCGAGAGGTATCGAGCTGGACTCCTCCCTTGGGGCGCTGGCTTCCCCGTCTCCAGGCCCTGGGCTTGCGGTCACCTGCTGGGGCTAGGCGGGAGCAGACAAGGGAGGAGGAAGAAAGCAGCGCATCCATGATGGGGGTGAGGGGCAGGAGCCCCACCCTGCGGGTCCCGCGACACCTCTCAGAACCAGCATGTGACAAGCTTGCAGAGCCAGCTGCCCACGAGACTCGGCTCCCTGCGGCCTCTGCGGCAGTGCACTAGGGCAGCCCTGCCTCGACCCCCATGTCCAGTGTTCTCTGTCAGCCTGCTCTGGGTGGGAGCTCGGGTATTACGGCCCCACAAGAGGTGGGGTCTGCCCAGGATCCCGGTTGCTCAGACACAGAAGCTTAGAGCTGGGACAGGAGCCATCCCCAGCTCTCGTGTGTTCACCCAGCGCCTTCAAGCAGCTCTGCAGCCCATCAGGGCCCAGGGGCAACAGGGGAGCCCTCCGCAGGGGCCAGGATCCATGCCGTGTGTGTTCTAGTGGTGCGCCGTGATATGGGAGGGAGCGACGACTGCCCGTGCCCTCCGCCTCCACTTCTGCCTCTCCCAGAAGCACCGTCCCGTTTGCCTGGCTCGGAAGAAGGATGTCAGCACTTTTACCAGGACTTGAGAGCTGCTGTGCTGGGCACTGTCCCCACTGCCCTGGCACTGCATGGCCTCCCACCCTCCTGGCGTGTGTGTCTGTGTCTGGAACGTCTGTGTTCCTGGGCAAGGGTCCTGGAGTCAAAGAGTGAGCCCCGACCCGTTCCAGGGCCAGACACACAGACACAGACACACACGCCAGGAGGGTGGGAGGCCATGGCCTCCCACCCTCCTGGCATCTGTGTCTTCTGGGCAGGCGTGTCCCGTGCGAACCCCCCACCCTGGCCCTGAGTGAGGGTGTGCCATGTTCTGCCCCATTTCCTCTCGGGTGGTGTTTTCTGGACTGGCGCCTGGGCAGCTACCGTGTCCACATCCCAGGACCCAGCCCACCGGCTCTTCCCTGGGTCTCCCCATCCAGGGCTCCTGGGGAGACGGACGTGAGGCCAATCTGAGGCCCCCAAGGGTCCAACCCTCAGTGGGTGTTTCTTCCAGCAGTGAGACACCAGCCCGGGCAGGCTGGAGGCGGCTGGGATGAGCTGGACAGCAGTCCTAGCTCTCAGGAGTCTTCCCAGGAGAACGATGACTTGGGCAAGGCCTCGGACTCGGGCAGTCGGTCGGGCAGTGACAGCCCCTCGGGGGCCAGCCGGGCACCTAGTGACCTGGCAGAAAGGTGATCCAGCACCCCAGGGCGCCCCTCCCTTCCGTACCCTGATGGGGGAGAGGTGACCTGGAGGGGGCGCGAGGGAGACCAGCCTTTGTCCTGACCCGTGTGCACCTGGCAGGGTTGAGGCTGTGACCCTGAGTGACTGCCAGCAGGAGCTGAGCCTGGTCCGGACTGTGACCCAGGGGCAGCACACCTTCCTGAGCCGAGAGGAGGTGCAGCACTTCGTCAAAGAGTGAGCCCCGACCCGTTCCAGGGCCCCCTTGTCCCCTCACCTCACCCCCATCCCTCGCCCTGGCTCTGCACACACGCCCCTTGCGCCACAGCCCCAGCCCTGTTGTGCGGTGCCCCCTTCCTGCAGGTGTGGCCTCCTCAACTGTGAGGCTGTGCTGGAGCTGCTCATCTGCCACCTGGCTGCCACCAGTGAGCGTGTTCAGATGGTAAGGAGGGCAGCAGGTGGGGCTGGGGGTATGCCCGGACACGGGGAATGGGGAGAGTGAGCACAGGATGCCCAGTCGGTTGTCTGGTCGATTGCTGAGGGCCGAGAGGAGGGAGGGAGGGAGCTGGTCACACAGACCTCCCTTGGTGGGGAACCCAGCTGACATCAAGTCCACCCACCCTGCAGAGAGCCCTGGGTGCCATCGCCTCCCTCGGGTGCACTGACCTGCTCTCTCAGGAGCGAGTCCTGCTCCTCGCCCGGCCTCGGCTGCAGGAGCTCAGTGCAGGCAGCCCCGGACCCGTGACCAACAAGGCCACCAAGGTGGGCAGCCTCCAGGGCCCAGAGGAGGGGGTGCAGGACACCCCAGCAATCCCACACCCTCCCCCCGCCCCCACTGCCTTCCCTAGACATGTCCCTCCTCCCACTCCTGCGGCTGGCACAGGTCATGTCCTTAGAACGGCAGTTGGCGGCCTGGCCTCTTCCCATACATGGGACCCCCAGGTTTCCCCAACCTTCTGCCCAGCAGATCTGCTTTTTGGGCAGTGCCTTCTCCCTTGTGGCTGTCTCCTCCAGGAAGCCCTCCTCCTGCAGGAAGCCCTCCTTGACTGCTTGGATCGCTCTCTTCCTCTGCTCTGTACTCTGTGTCATGGGTCTAAGCTCCGCTCCCATATCCCTAATTCTGGGAGGGCAGAAATGGTTGTCTGTCTGAGTCCTCTTCCTTTGATGAATGTGGGGAGGCCACCTGCAGTCTTCTCTGGGGCCTGCTGTTGGCCTCTCTTAGCTTCCAGTTTTCTGTATGGCGGTGGACAATTCACATCCTTAGTCACCTGTCTCTACACTGCTCTTCATCAGAGCACTAGTGAACCTGCCACACATGAAACACGTCGAGGGCACATCATGGTGTTGCTAAAGCCTGAGAAGGACCCAGGAGTCCAGCTATCCGGAATGACACTTGGGTGGCGGTTGGGGGTGCTTCAGACACATCTCTTCCCTCTGCGTGTGTCAGGTGCTTGTGTGGCATTTGACCAGGAGGGGGCGCTCTTCCACTCTGGCAGGCCACACAGCAGCTTGATGTGGGGGAAAGCATCTGTTTGTATGACAGCTGGTGGAGAGCAGCAGCGGTAGTGCCGGGGGATGACAGAATTGTTGTGAGCGGCCAGTGGTCCTGCCCCATGCTCTGGCCAGCGACATTGAGGAGGGGACCCAGGAGGACCTTGTCCTCTATGATTCCTGAAGGAGCACAAGAGCCTTCACCAGTTCCCCTCTTCCCTCGTTCAGATCCTGAGACACTTTGAAGCCTCCTGCCGACAGTGGCCCCCTGCCCGGAGGCCCCCAGCCGAGCCTAGCCCTGCAGCCGCCCGTGTGGGCCCATCAGACCTGCTGACCGACACCCTGCCTTTCACCGGGGGCCAGGCCTTCCTACAGCCTCTGAGTTCAGCTCTGTTTTCGCCCAAGGGCAGCATGCCCCCATCAGGGCTGCAGCCCAGCCCTGTGCCCCCAGCGTCCCCAGAGAGCTGCCCCCTTCCAGTCCCTGGAGCTGCCAGGGAGGCTGAGACCAGGCCGGCAGGTTCCAGAGACCAGTGGGCTGCATCTGAGCAGGGCCCGCTCTGCATGGACACCCCAAAGGGAGGGCCAAAGATCAGCCTGGGCCCCGGCCACAGCTGCAGCTCCTTATTTGCTGGCATGGAACTGGTGGCCTGTCCCCGCCTGGTGGGGGCCGGGACTGCTGCAGAGGATCCCCTCCCAGCCCACCAGGCTCCCTGGACGTTGTCACAGAGGCTGGCAGCAAAAGAGCCTTCCGGCTCTGAGCCATCAGCTTTCGCATTCTTAAACTCGTGATCTTGTCCGCCTGGGCCACATGCAGTCTGTGTGCTCCCTGGCCCGTGACTCCCAGGACCCTGTGACTTTGTGCTGTCCCCTATGCCCACAGCCCCCGATTCCCCTCTCTGTGGTCAGCCTCGCCCTCCCCTGGCCTCTTCTCCTCACCCACTGAGGCATTGGTGTGAGCAGCTACCCAGCCAGCCGAGCTTAGAATGGATGGCTCACCCAGGGATGAGAATGGCCGCCAGTAAAACCCAGGTGATATTTTAGTCCGTGCACCAGCCAGAGCCAGACCACCACTGCGGTAACGAGCTGCCCATGGGAGCTGCTCCTCAACTTTGCCCCTAAGGTGGATTTCCTGTTTTTCTGCTGGGAGGCAGGACCCCCCTCTTACAGCCTGCCCTCTGGGTTTGATGGCCCAGGAGCAGCGTCCTCAAGCACTCTGCAGGACTTGCAGGGAGCGCAGGACAGGCCCAGAAAGAGGAGCCGAGCACAAGCTAAGCCTGGCAGCCAGTGGGCCCTGGGGTGCCAGATCTCCCGCCTCATGGCCATTTGCTCTGGCGGGATGAGGACACCGTCCACTTTTCCCATCTTCCAGAGGGACGAAGGGAGGGCAGTGGGGCAGACAGCATGACGTGGCCTGCTCAGAGGGCACTGGAGGGGAGCTCATGGGAGAGGCCTGGTGACTGAGCTTGGAGACCCCACACCCATTGGAACTGGCCCGAGTCCCCGGGATCCTTATGGGCACACAGAGAAGGGTACCAGGGGAAGATGGAGAGGACCCATCTGCAGGCTGAGCCCAGGCCCGGCCTCCAGCCAAGCTTCTGCTATTTCCAGGCGACAATCCTGAGAGGAGCATCCCAGGGCCACCTCACTCATTCCTCCACCCCGACCCTGCTGTCTCCTTGGCCAGAGACTGGCCATTTGGACTTGAATTCCTGTAGCAGCAGGCAGGCAGGCACAGAGCCTTGCAAGCACTGACCTTGGGGTCCCCTGGGGAAACCCCTGCCTTCCTGGCCCTCAGAAACAAGGATTTTTTGGGTCAGTTTGGAACCACTGCTTGGGTCTTTGTTTTTGAGCTCAGATCCCTCCCTCTGGGGGAGGGGGGTGTTGTAAGCAGCCTCCCACCTTCTCGTCCATCAGGATTAGGGTCTGGGTAGGGTTAGGGCAGCATCAGGTCCCTGTGTGACCCGTGTCATCTCCCCACTCCCGTGACCTCTGCCTGCAGACTGTGCAGCCACCTCAGAGCTAGGGCTGTGGTCGCTCTGGGGAGAACTGGGGATGGCCTGGGGTCACACCTCCCACATAAACACTGCTGTTCACAGGAAGCTGCACTGATTGCTTTTTCATTTTCTATCTGTGTGTGTGAGAGAGGAGAGAAAATGGCACTAAGGGGCACAGGTAGAGACTTCTAAAAGCTGGGACAGGTATCAGTTCTTCCTTAAATGTTTGGAAGGACTCTCCAACGGAACTATCTTGTCCAGTAATTTTCTTAATTGCAAAGTTTCTAACTACAAAATTCAATTTCTTAAGTAGATTTAGGACTATTTGGGTTATCTATTTCCTCATGAGTTTCAGTAATTTGTGTCTTTCAAGGAATTGGTCCATTGCGAATATGGCTATAGAATTTTTTCAGCCTGCCTTTGTTCTTCCAATTTTTTTGTTTGTTTTGTTCTTCCAAGTTTTATAGTGTCCCACCTTTCATTTCTAATATTAATTTTTTCCCCCTTTCTTGGTTAGTCTGATTAGAAGTTTATTGATATTATTGACCTTTTCAAAGAACTAACTTTTGGTTTTGTTTTTCTTACTGATTTATGTTTTGTATTTTATTGACTTCTGCTCTTTACTGTTTCAATCTTCCTGCTGTGGATTTTTTTCTTTTTCTAGCTTTTTAAAAGTGAAAGCTTAGATTATTGATTTAAGACCTTTTTTCTTTTTTAATATAAACATTTTAAAAATTTTATTTTTGGTTGCAGTAGGTCTTCCTTGCTGCTTGCAGGCTTTCTCTAGTGGCAGAGGGTGGGAGCTACTCTTCTTTGCAGCTCATGGGCTTCTCATTGGGGTGGTCTCTTTCAAGGTGGAGCATAGGCTCTAGGCACACTGGCTTCAGTAGATGCAGCTTGTGGGCTCAGTAGTAGTGGCTGCGGGCACTAGAGTGCGGGCTCAGTAGTTGTGACTCAGTAGTTTCAACTAAGCTCATGGGCTTAGTTGCTCAGTGGCATGTGGAATCTTCCAGACCAGGGATCGCACCCATGTCGCCTACATTGGCAGGCAGATTCTTATACACTGTACCACCAGGGAAGTCCTAATGGAAACATTTTTAATGCTATACATTTTCCTCTAGACACTGTTTTAGCTACATCCCATGAACTTTGATAACATTTTAGTATTTATTCAGTACAAAATATTTTCTAATTTCCCATAAGACTTCCTTTTTGTCTGACTTTTTTGGGGGGGCACAGCACCAGGCAGCATGTGAAACCTCCTGGACTAGGGCTCACACCCGTGCCCCCTGCAGTGGAAATGCAGAGTCTTAACCCCTGGGCCACCAGGGAAGTCCTGATAGATTATTTTAAAATGTGTTTTGTATTAGTACTTTAATTTTTATATTGTAAGAGAACATATAAGACTTTCATTATAAAGATTTCAAGCTTTTGCTAAAGTTTGTTTAGTGGCCCAGGATAGAGTCGTATCTTGGTGAATGTTCCATGTGCACTTGATTTGGAGAACCACAGACCAATCTCCTTCATGAACATAGATTTTTAAGAAAAAGCCCTCAACAGAATATTAGCAAAACAAATCCAGACGCATACAAAAAATATATCACAGTAAGTGGAGTTATTTCTGGGGATGGGAGGCTGGTCCACCATCTAAAAATAGTGCAATTCACTATATTAACACATTAAAGAAGAACAAATCACATTATTATTTTACGCAGAAAAAAGCAAGAGATAAATTTCAACATTCATGATTAAAAAAAAAAAACAGCAAACTAGAAATACAACAATTTCTTTCACCCAGTAAAGGGGATGGACTGGGTGCTTGTGTGCATACACAGTTGCTTCAGTCGTGTCCAACTCTTTGCAACACCATGCTTAATGTCAAAAGGCTGAGTGATTTCCCTCCAAGATTGGGAACAAGGCGGGAATGTCCACGTTCACCACTTTTGTTTAGCATTGTCCTGGAAGCACCAGCCACTTCAATGAAACAATGGGGGAAAAGGCAAATACAAAGGAAGAAATAAAACTGTTACTAACCACAGAAAGCATGATTATTTATGTCGAAAAGCACATAGATTCCACAAAAATCCTATGACTAAAGAGTTTAGCAGGAACACAGGCTGTTGAGTAAAACTGAATTGTATTTTCATATATGAGTGATAAATGATTGGAAATTTACATTTTAAAATCTGTTACTGGGACGTCCGTGGTATGGGAGGATTCCACATGCCATGGAGCAACTGAGCCCCCGTGCCACAACTACTGAGCCCGTGCTCTAGGGCCCGCGGGCCACAGCAGCTAAGGCCGATGCGTCTAGAGCCTGTGTTCCACAACCAGAGACGGCACCACCGTGAGAACGCAAGGAAGAGTACCCCCTGCCCCCCCGCAACTAGAGAGAGCCCACACGTAGCAGTGAAGACCCAGTGTGGCCAAAAATAGGTGCTTTATGATAGCATCCAAAACCTGTAATAATTAGATATAAGTTAAATGGATACAGGATCTGTATGCTGAAAAATATAAAAAACTGATGAAAGAAATCAATGAAGACCTACATAAATGGAGAGATATACTATGTTTATAGATTGGAAGATTTTACTGTTAAAATGTCAATTTTTTCCCAAATTGATCTACAGATTTAACATAATTCCCATCTAGATTTTTTTTTTTAGGGGGGGAGGTAAATGGAAACAAACTGATCCTAAAAGCTACAACCAAAGTCAAAGCAATTAGAATAGCTAAGGTGATTTTGAAAAAGCACAAAGAGGACTCACAGCGCCTGCTTTGAAAACACTGTCAGGAAGCATTAGTCAACACTGTGGGATGCATGAAAGTTTAGACATGGATCAGTGGGCCAGTATAGACAATTCAGAGACAGCCACACGGGTATGGTCAGTTGGTTTTCCACAGGTGTCAAGGTAATTCAATGGAGAAAGGATAGACTTGCAACACATATTGAAAACACATATTGAAACAACTGGAAGAAAAGAATGAACCTTGGCCCCTTCTCATATCTTACACAGTATTTAAAGTGAGCCATAAACCTACCTAGAAATTAAACTTCTAGAAGAAAACGGAGCAGAAAATGTTCTGTCCTTGGATTAGGCAAAGGCTTCTGTGAGAGAGAAAAGTGCAAACTGTAATAGAAAAACTAGGCATCATCAAACTTGAAGAACTTTATTTTGAGTGACAGAACAAAAAGACAAGCCACAGACTGGAGAAGATGTTTGCAAATCCCAACTCTCAGGAAAGATTTGTATCAAGAACATATAAGGAACACCCCAAACTCAATCATAAACCAACCCCCAGTTTACAAAGTGGGTGAAAGATGTGGATGGACACTTTGCCAAAGAAAGTATATGGATATCGAACAGAGAAGCACACAGATAGTTTCTCAACATTGTTAGGGAAATGCCGTTGAAGACCACGTGGAATACCACTGCACACCTGTTAGTATTTTCTAAGAATATTTATTTTAGTTGGCAGCATTCGGTCTCTTCATTGTGTCAAGATCTTTTGATGCAGTGTGTGGGTTTAGTTGGCTCCAAGGCCTGTGAGATCTTCCTTGACCAGGGATCAAACCTGTGTCCCCTGCATTGCAAAGACCATTGGACCACCAGGGAAGTCCTGACACCTGTTAGTATTACTTAAAAATAATAATTAAAAAATCCAGTAATACCAAGTGTGAGGCCAAGGGGGAGCAAATGGAATTCACAGTCTGCTGGTGAGAATGCATTAATAGAAAGATACATCACCTTTGGGGAAAGTTTGGCAGTATCTTAGACAGTTACCATACAATTC